CAGAAAAACATCCTGCACCTTTGGTCATATCTGATTAACAGTAATGCAAGAGGCCTTGCTGATCTCTATTTGGCAGAAAATTGTGGGGTAACTGTGAGGTATGTTTTTGAGTGCTTTGAAAGATCCATAGCACCTATAGAATTTCTTAAACTAGTAATTTCATCACTGATCAATCATAGAGGTAAAGGGGCATTTAACTTGAGAAATTTCAATTTGATATAATAATAACATTTCATGTAGATTGGCTCACAACATGACAACAACTTATAGCATGTTCTCTAAACATATCTTCTTAAATGGGATAGGGTGTTTTATAGGTCATGCCTCCCCATTTCTTACAAAATGCTAAACTAACAGGGGCTGACCACTCCCAAAATCAACTCCAGAGAAATAGTAGTGATATGGGAATAGGTATCCAAGGCCTATCAGGGCGAGTCTCTCCTTGAGTGGACTGAAGCCTACTCTAACCTGGCAAGTGAGAGCAGTGAGTGTGGCTGGGTTGGAGAAGGGCATCAAGCTCGGAAGAGGGCTGTAGGGGAGACAATGAAAGTTCTGATCTTGCATTTCCCTAATTCATTTAATTACTTGTGCTATAGCTACAGAAATTTGTGGCAGCAACCTACACTACTTTCTATGTTGTGACTCTTATCGGGGAAATACAAAGGTTACTAAGTTGAGAAGCTAAACAGTGAAAAAAGGTAAAATAGATAGGCTGAAGAACAAATTGGTGCATTGAACTATAAATCTACCAAGAAGGCCAGAGAAAATAATAGAGGTAGAAAATACCAATGAAGTGCTAAAGAACATAGAGATAGCATCTACTTATCAGGATCCCCAGAAGGGAAGAAACATAAACCTGGAAAAAAGGAAATTTGAAGAACTGATAGATGGGAATTTCACAGATACACACACACACACACACAAACACACACACAACTAAAGTCAGTTATATTAGTTCATCATTTTGTTAGGAATAGATGACATGTAAAAAACATCCCATTTAAGAACAAAAAAAAATACTTGTAGATTGCCTCTCAAGTAAGATAAATGAAAATAACAAGTCTAGGTAAATATAGAGAAATTTTTTAAATAGCAAGGTAAAATTTCCAGAGAAAAGGGAACATATCTGCCAAGAAAAATCAGGTTGATTCTAAACTTCTCAATAGCAACAGTACTTATAAGAAAAAAAAGAAAGTAAAATATTTCTTTAGAGTTTTAAAAACAAAATTTTGAACTTAGAATAGTAAATACAGCAAAAATTTAAATTTGGTCTAGGTCACAGTACAGTCCTGAGTTATAAATATCTCCACGGTCTTATCCAATTAAATTAAAACAGTCATCTTTGCACCATTCCTTCAGATTTGCTTTGACACCAAGAGTGCTCATTTTGGCTATCTATTGCCCTGTTTTCCTTAGTTAATCTCTAGCTCTACTATGATTAATTTATTGTTCTTATGAAACTACAGCATCCTCTTAATTGCTTACCAAAAAAAAATCTCTACTGTTTTTGAGGATAACCAATATATTTTGGATATTAACCTTTTATCAGATATATGGTTTGCAAATATTTTCTCCCACTTTTTGGGTTGCCTTTTCTTTGGTGTACTGTTCTCATTCCTATGTAAAAGCTCTTTATCTTTGTATGGTTCCACTTGTCTTCACATTCTGTTCCAAACAGAGTTAGTTATCCCAGGGCCAACTATGAATCTATTCTTATAGAACAAAACCCCTATACACCACTTGCCAGTGCTCAGAAGATGGGAGTAAAAACCACTTACCTTGGGCTTAGACTCCTCCCTTATAACCAGGATACTGGGCAATTGCAGTATCTTGTCCTTTCTTGTTTTTATCAGCATGGAACTTCAACCTTTGAGCTAGCTGGAGGGGATGAGAAATTACAATAGCCCACCCAACCTGGGGAGACACTGCAATACATGATGAGAGTATGGCAGAGGGAGGGCCTGGTATTCTCAGCTGCATTCACCAACTTCCATTATACTCTGATGAAAAGTAGATGTGGGTCTTAGTTCAAGAGCATTAGGCCTTGCTTTCCTATTTAGTCAATTTCCTTGAATGTTTTTCCATTTGCTTTATGCCCTTAGAACAAAATCCAAAAATATTAAATGGTTGTTACGGTTTTATAAGAAACTATTTTCATCTGTTCCAATGTTTCTCTGGGGAGAGAGTCTGTGGAGCTTCTCCACTACTATTATAGAATTCTCTCTCCTTTGTTACTTTAGAGCACAAGGAGATGATCCTGGTTCATCTTATTTTTCTGTGCTCTAGAATTAAGCATGCTTACAAATGTGTTACACATAAACCAATACCAAAATGAACCAGTTTTTCTCTTGGTTTGCTTATTGCCATTAGCATTTAATTACTCATGAACAAAGCTGGAAAAAAATTTACAATTACAAATAAATATATACACACATTGTTTCTGTTGTGCATTTTTCTATATATACATGCAAATATTAAAACTATCTTATATTTTCCTTCCAAAAGACCACTATAAAAACAATAACTGAATCAATTTTCCCATATCATGGTTATATATCATCATGTGCCTTATGTGAGGGACACCAACATTTCTGATCTTAACTGAGGAAACCATTATTCTTACTTCTTAGATATTCTTCATATGGTACTGTGACAAGTAGTTTAGATTTAAAGGCTTTAAAGACTACTAAGGTTCTTAACGTTAAGTGAAGTGATAAAAGCAGTAACTTGTACAAACTTCAGTAAGCCATAGATGCATGTTTCAGTATCTAGAGCAATTATGAAAGCATAGTAAAAGAATGTATAGGGGCTGGGGTTGTGGCTCAGGAGTAGAGCATTCACCTAGCACATTTGAGGCACTAGGTTTGATCCTCAGCACCACATTTTTTAAAAAATGAATTAGGGCTAGGGATATAGCTAAGTTGGTAGAATGCTTGCCTCGCATGCCCAAGGCCCTGGGTTCAATCCCCAGTATCCCCCCCCACCAAAAGAAGAAAGAAAAGAAAAATGAATGTATAATTTAAAAAACTGAAAGAGAACTATTAAGACATTTGATTGATAGAAAATATAGCAAAAGGAGTAAGAAAAGCATAAAACTGGCAGGTAAAAATATCTAAGATCATAGATAAACACATAAATTGGGGGTTTGTTTTTATTACTTTAGTATTGAGTTTTATGATTTCCTTATAATATTTGGGATATTAACTCCTTATCAGATATATTGTCTGTAAATATTTTCTCCCACTCCACACGCTGCTTCTTCATTTTGTTCATCGTTTTCTCTACTGTGCAGAGATTTCAGCTTGTTGTCGTCTACTTGCTTATTGTTACTCTTGTTGCCTGTGTTTTGATGTCAGATCCAAAAGTATCACTCCAAGACCAAAACCAAGGAGATTTTTCTCTAGGTTTTCTTCTAGGAGTTTTAGGGTTTCAGACTTTATATTTAAAGTTTCAATCCATTTCAACTGAAGTTTTGTTTATGATATAAAACAAGAGCACAATTTTATTCTTTTGTATGCCAATGTCTAGTTTTTCCAACATCTTCACTTAAAGGCATTTTCCTTTCCCTATTGCATATTCTTGGTTCCCTTGTCAAAAATTAGGTGGAAAAAAAAAAAATATATATATATATATGTATGTATATATAGAGAGAGAGAGACAGAAATAAACACACACTATTCATCCCCCAGAAACAAAGAAATTCTTTCATGTCTGTTGTAACATAGATGAACCTAGAAGACATTATGTCTAGTGAAATAAGCCAAAGAAAGGTAAGTACTGTAGATATCATTTATATGTGAAACTAAAGAAATTAAACTTGAGAGAGTAGAATGGTGGTTGCCAGGGACTAGAGGCAAAGAAAATAGAAAATGTTAGCCAACTTTTTCATCTGATAAATGTTCACTTATCAGATGAAAAAGTTCTGGGAAATCCAATATACATTATGAGTGGTGATAAATGTGCTAAGTAATTTGTTGCAATAATCATTACATAACATATACGTATATCAAATCATGCCATTGTATACCTTGAATATTCCTTGTCAATTAAATATTTTAAGATAAAAGCAAAGAAGACAATATAATATTTCCAAAGTGACATAAGAAAGGTTACTAATATGAAATTGTTTATACAGTGAAAATAGCCTTCAAACATGAAGGTAGAATAAAGACATTTTAGGATGAATAACTAAAAAGAACCAATAAAAACTTTTTAAATTTTTTTTAAATGAGAGAATTTGTTAACAAATTTTCACTACAAAAATGCTAAAAAAAAAATTCTTCAAGCTAAAAGGAAATGACAATAGATGGAAACCTGGATCTAGAAGAATTAAAAACAGCAAACATAAAAAAAGTCCTTATTTTTCCTCTTTCTTTAAAATACATATGACTAGGGGCTGGGGTTGTGGCTCAGTGGTAGAGTGCTCACCTAGCATGCATGAGGCACTGGGTTCGATCCTCAGCACCACATAAATGTAAAATAAGGATATTGTGTCCATCTAAAACTTAAGAATAAACATTTTTTTAAAAATACATATGACTAAAATAAAGGTGTTATCCAATGAAACTCCAAAGATCAGTAGAGGAAAAGGGACCCAAGGGGTAGGGGGTGCGGGGAGAGAAGGGCTGGGCAATGATATTGGCCAAATTATATTATTATATTGTGAGAATGTTTGAGCATAGAACAACAAATCCCATGGTTATGTACAACTATAATACACCAATAAAAAATGTGGAAAGTTAAAAATAAAATACATATGATTATTTAAGGCATAAAACAATAAAACTGTAGAATAGATATTAAAATTCATGAACATATCATATATTTTACATATATATTATTATTTCTGAGGAAATATATATATGTATAAATATGCAGTAACACTAAAGATAGAAATAACTGGAATAGCTAGAACTATATTTTGGCAAAGTTCTTTTACTTCACCTGCATATCAGGTACAATATCACTTTTAAAGAGATTGTGAAAATATAATGCATGGAATCATTTATTATGAATAATTTTCTTCCATCGTAGGTAAATGTACAATCTATACAGTAATGAAGAAGACAGAATTCTCTTTTGTTTTGGGAAACAATATCACAATGAGTTCTCTGAGGATTTGATTGCTCCAAAAAATAGAACTAAATGGCAGCAAGCTCAATATCATCATAGCCAGGGTGTTCTTGTCCCAGGAACAGGGAGGATCCTGTCCCTTCCATGCTAGAGTTGACAGCTTCTCTGGGAGACTAAGGAGAGGTGCCTGAAACAGTAAGGAAAACCCAAGTTTCGTTAGTGACAAGGCAGTAGAGACCTCTTATAGAAGGAAAGACAAGTACAGAGTGGCTGCAAAATACCTATGTGGGTCCAGAGCTTGTCTGAAAGGCCAGACAGAGCTGCCTCATTCTGAGTGTTCTGTGCAAAATCTGGTTTGATATCAACAAGAGAGATGGGTCAATAACAGTGAGGAATACAAAAGAGCTATGAGCACTCTCTTCCACAGCAGGCTGGTCTGATTCCTTAAAAAATGGAGGCAGTAGATGACTTGTCTTGATTCCTCAGTATCTCAATAACAGACCCTACTTGACAAAGTATTTATGAAAACATTTTGGGTCCTCTGGCAGATGCCCAAGGAGGGCAGCTCAACCACATCCCAGTCTACCATTTCCCCACCAATACCCATACATAAGCAGCAAGCCTGGTCTTAGAGGAAAATGTCATATGTCCGTTGAAATAATGAGAGAAAACAGTCTCTTCCTTCTAACCTCATATACCTACATGAGCTCTTCCCTGTTCCTGGCTTGTTTCAGCTATTTCATCTCTTCTGAAAGGAGAAACATATTGTGTTTCCTGAGTCCCTGCCCACCACATGTTGGATGTAGACATGTTTGTATGAGTTGCAGAAACTTTTTGGATTTATTTCAATTTTTTAAACCTAAAACAAGATATGTGTTCTGACAACAAATATAGGGACTCTTTCAGATCATGAGAAGTAATCTGGGAGGTCTTTAAATAGAAATGTGAGTTAAATCCATGAACTATAAAATTTTGTTTTGGGGAAACCATGTAACCAAACATTTGAAGTTGATATTACCCTCTATTAATGCAGAATGCAATGGCTGTAATTAAGTGTTGAAATTTCTTCACTATAAGGAAGAGACTATTCTATGACTATTCTTTTCTAGTAAAGAAAAGCTAATGATTCATAGTTTCACTGTCATCTTTCCTATGACAAGGAAGTAAGACTACTATAGACAGAGCTGTCCACTCACCTGAATAAGAATACCTAGCACCTCCTCCCTTTTCTAGGAAAAAATACTTCTCACTCATCCCAGGGACAGAAGTAATTTCAGAAGCAGTTAACTCTTCAACATCATCATAACCATATCCTGTGACACTGACATGCTGTCCCAGTTGTTCTGAAAATAAAAGAATAATGTGGAAAAGCAAAATATGCATTGGACTAGATGATGCCTTAAGTATGTTCTAAAGCTGAGATTTTAGTAGCTAATTAATATAGGCATATTAGTATACCAAGGCTGTCCCAAAAGCATACATTTGATCTCAATATTTTTTAAAACCCTGTAAAATGCTCTAAATATTCCAATATATTATGATTAATAACATTTTCCTAAAATGGTGTTTCATATCAAAAAACATCAACAAAAGTTACTGTACTACAAGTGTCAGGTACTATTTTCTGGCATATGGCCCAGAGTTGAAACACATAATATGTACACATCTGCAATTGCAGGCAATGAATCGGAACCAAGAGAACCCAGGCTGTTCATGTGCCATCAGAGGCAGGAGGAGATAAAGGGAAGCATGGCTTTCAACCATTGCACATACAAGTAATCCCACCCATCCCAATCACAGGAGGCCTGGGTTTTCAATACACCTAAGTGCTCTGCTGGCCTTAGGCTCCCATCTCCACAGAGCTGTCCTGAACATGCCTCATTCCAAGAACTGCCCACATTTACCACTTGGGGAAAGGTCTAGAGTGGACATTTTTGGCTATAGAAAAGAGATCCTGGTAGTTGATAAATATAGGCACTACACATTCTATGTACCCAGGAATAATCAATTTTTGTCTCAATATTCATATAAGCCACAAAATTATTCATATGTTACTATATCTCAGGGTCAATATCATACTTCCAGTGTTTTCTCTCACCATGGAATTTTTTATAAGATCAGGTTCAGATGCTAGTGTTTTAAATATAGCCCTTGAATTTACAATAATACATTTGATATATGTCTATGATCCCATAGAAGTAGCTTTGGATACTGAGAGAATTGCACTGAGCTTTCCCTTTCTGAGGTGACAGAGTGGTCAGAGAGGAAGAAAAATAGTTGTTAATTGGACAGAAGATATCTTTTCCATCCTAATCACAGGAAGATGTTCTTCTCACATTATAACCTCCTCCTCACCCCACCATTCAAGGGAACACCTGTCTCTACTACCTGGGGAAGATTCAGGGTCTCCATTCTCCTCATGGTGCCCTGTGTAATATGACAACTTAGTCGCTGAGTCATCAGACAGATTTCCTGGTAGGGAGAAAAACATCACAGGCAAACACACATGTCATGGTTCGGAAGAAATATGGAAGCTTTAGATTTGTAGAAAGAGGGCTTGGAGCTCCTGCCTTAGGAGGAGGATGGCCATATAGGTTGGGTAGTGATGGGGTCTGTGCTCCCTGAAGACTGCCATATCCATGACCAACTCGTGAACAGAAAGGAGGGTAGGGAACACACCTGGGCTGTCCTGCAGGTCCTCGTTCTCTGGATTCATGAGGTAATCTATCTCCTGGTACAGGGCCTCATCAACAGCATCTTCAAAAGTAGATAAGTCTGGGGAAAGCAGAATGAGTTCAGAGATTGCTCCTGGAGGTGTTTCCCTTACCAACAGAAAAACCTGTTGGAGACACTCCTCTGGGCTACCAGAGTCCCTTTCCTTAGCTTCTGCTCTGGTAGTTCAAACGATGGGTCCTGACTCTACCTGGATTCTATACTCAGTCTCCACTGACATTGTCCATACAAGAAGCTATTATTTTTCAGAGTTTCCATATTCAACCCAGGACCAAGGATTCCAGTGCTTTAAATGCTGAAGTACATAAAGCAGTTTTCCAAATAATAAGAATGGAGACTCAAACATACTTTTGAAGAAATCACAATGGTTCCACCATTCTCCCTGAATACTTTCCAGGTCACAACATCCCTAATTCCTACCTGGGCGCTCTGTTCTCCATCTATGCAGCTGAATCCCAAGGATGATAAGGACCAGGAAGAGAAGGGCTCCCAGGATGATGCAAAGGATTCCAGGTAAGGAGGAGATACCAGGGACAGGGGTTGAGACTGAACTGGTGCCTGAGGAGGTAAAGGATCATAAGTCTTTGGAGAAGACCATAAGCCCAGGAGAATCCAATTACCCTGGCCATCTCTTGATTCTTCAGGACCATGAAGTCCCCAGCTCAGATACAATGGATCTGCCTGAACCCCAAGATGTTACCACCCGAGATCCTGCTCTGAGCTATGTCAACGATCTTCTGAGTTTGGTTTTAAGGAATTTCTGTAAAGTGAACATTGGTGAGGCTTTGGAGCCCTTGGCTACTACAATTTAATAAACTGTATGGCCTGTTCTAACCCTGATCATCAGGCCTACTATAATTTTGTCAAAAATATGTAGACTTCATAGTGTAGGACTCTGAAAATATGTCTCCCTTATCACATGGGTTGGAGCAGAAGAACCACTTACTTCTAGATTTGGGAGAAACTCTAGTTCTTTCACCTGAAGAGAAGAGAAGGAAAATGAGATCACTGAAATGGTTCTGGGGATGTCACTGGGTCCCACCCACTACCTCTGGCACATGGTTCTGTCCCAGAAGCCTGGAGATTAGGCACAGCCTTCCACAGCCAGGGCTCAGGGCAGCAGGATAGCCTGGGAAGCCCTTTGGATGCAGACACACTCCTTCAACCCTGGCCCCCTCTCCTGGTCCTGCTACTCACCAGAGCACCTCACACCAGCGTCCTCCTCATGCTTGCAGTCACTCTGTCCCCAGGGTGCTGCAGCACAGGCCCACAGGGAGGGCTCCCTGCCCCTGCACTGCACCTCATCCAGCCAGATGCTTCCATTTCCAGGGCCAAATGCAGCCTCCCCTGGTGCATCCAGGGCAGAGCCACAGCCCAGCTGCTGACACACCACCTCAGCCTCTGCCAGGCTCCAGGAGTCATCACACACAGTGCCCCAGGTGCCTTCATGCCAAACCTCCACTCGCCCTGAGCACTCGCTGTCTCCTCCCCTGAGTCGGAGCTTCTCTTTGTCTGAAAAGGCAGCAGCACCTCCTCTTACTCCCTGGTGGGAGGAAAGGAGCCCCTGGAAGCCATGGGGAAGGTGTGAGGGGATGAGGTACCTGTGCAGGGAGCAGTGGCTGGACAGCTCTTGGGTCGATTTCCTGCAGGAGCAAACAGTGAGGACACACCAGTTAGGGTCAACTGGAGTGGTCCTGCCCAGGACAAGGTTCTTGAAAGTCCTGGGCTCAGATCAAGTGACAGGTGGAGATATCAGGCTTCACACACAGTCTAAGGTCCTGCCTTACCAAGACATTTCCTGGAGCATATCCCTATCAGCAGCTGAAATTATTTTCATCAGTTTCCATTTTTTCACTCTCCCCATTTTCTGAACAAACATAAACACAAACGTGCTGTCTTGTACTCGCCCTCTCTCACTTATTCCCCACAATGCAAACTCCACCAGAGGAAGGACTTTGCCTTGCTTATCTCATTCCTGCTGATCCTACTATCAAGACAGTGTCTGGCACATCCACATATATGTGGAGAATCTTCTATGAACGTTATGAATAGGGACTTGATAAATATTTATTGAATGGACAAATTTTATTCTCCATTTATTCAAGAACTCTTACCCTGCTAAAAAGCAATTCCTTTACATTCTTGCTAATCAGTAAGGTAATAAATAAAATATAAATTGATGTCAATAACTTGTGGTAATAAATATTGGGCATTAAAAATATAATTAATGCATGATCACAAAAGTAATTTGTGTTTAATGTTACACTTAATTTTTAATAGAAAATTGTAAAACAGATCAAAAGAATAAAAGATTTATATTCTATAAAAGTAATAGAGCGCCAGGCATGGTAGCGCATACCTGTAATCCCAGCAATTCAGGAGACTAAGGCAAGAAAATTCCAAGTCCAAACCAGTCTCAGCAACTTAAAAGAGACCCTGTCTCAAAACAAATAAAAAGGACTAGGGCCGGGGACAATGGTGCATGCCTGTAATCCCAGTGGCTTGGGAGGCTGAGGCAGGAGGATGGTGAGTTCAAAGCCAACCTCAGCAACAGCAAGTTGCTGAGCAACTCAGTGAGACTTTGTTTCTTTAAAAAAAATAGGGCTGGGGATGTGGCTCAGTAGTCGAGTGCCCTTGAGTTCAATCCTGAGTACCAAAAAAAAAGGACTGGGGATATGGCTCAATAGTTTAGCATTCCATAGGTTCAATTCTTGGTACAAAAAAAAATCAGGTAAAAAACAGTAGAACAATAGCTAGCTGGGAAGAACAAAATATATAAATATATGCACAAAACTCAAATAAATATATTAAGGAAAAAATAATACATGAGAGTTCACAGAGATAACATAGAAACAAAAAATTATAAAAAACTGAAACCAAAAGAAGTACATATACATGCAAAATAATACCAAGAAAATAAATGTCTACATGGCACTTGTTATTAAAAACCAGTATTGATATATATTATTGTCCTTTTATCCTATCACATCTGTCTTATGCAGGAACATCTCTGAAAACGAAGGCAGGACTTCTCTTGAGTGGTTGATCAACTTCAGGATGGTAGACATGCCTACCTCTCATTTCATAATGTCTTATTTCAGGAAAAAATTATTTAGTATACAATTTTAACTGCTTAATATCTCTTTAGCTGCCATAGGAAAAAGGCTGGGGGGGTGAGGAAAGAGAGACAGAAGAGAATATAAACATCTGCCTCTCAAGTATTTATCATCACATTCTTCCTAGCTGCATATTTGGGCAATTCTCACAATTCATTCATTTTTATCTTAAATGATATGGTAGGAGTTGCTGACAATTTTGATAATTTTTTCTCCGTGAAAATGAAGGAAATGGTACTTACCAGTTCATTTATCCTATTTACTTCAGGGTAATATTAATAGACAAAGGATGATGTGATATGACTAAGTTATCCTTTTACATTTTTACATGTCTTTCTTGCTTATAATGGATAAATAATGTTTTTGTAACCTAAGTAAAATAGAAAGGAAATGGTTTTTCTCTAAGCCTAATACAAACTGGTGGGAACATAAATCTCCTTGCACAAACCTCTATGCACAAAACCAGCAAAAGCAAGTGTGGCCTATTTGGGGAAGAAGAGAAAGATAGGAGGGTTTAAGAGGAGATGGGTTGGCCATCCCTTCCTTGTGGACCTCACAGGAATGAGGTTCTTCTGTTAGTTATTCTTAGAGTAAACCCAAGTATGCCCCCCTTGCAATTTCGATGCATCAGTTACAACTGTTTACCCTGGAACATCTCATGAACAATCTCCTCCCTCTTCCCTGATGAAGTCCTTCAATGTCTAAGCACAATATGCTGACCGCAGCTTCCCTGGCATTTCGGTTTCTAGTTGTTTTTTCACCTGGGACACACAATGAAATGTGCCAGTGTTACTTTTAAAGGCAACTCATCCAAACCACATCAACACATTAATCTACTTGGTAATCAAGTAAATCTATTTCCAGCACCATATTTCTCCCTCTTTCACCCTCATACCTCTGCTTTTCAAAAGGACTTTGTACAGTTTTCATCTACTTAGTATTCTTTGGTACTTTTATTTCTGGTTTGCACCTCATTCAAACTCCCCACTCTAAAATGTGTTCTCACTAGGATGCTCAGTGGCATACAATTACCTAATCACCTAATCTAATGGGCACTCTCTGTTTTTATTTACTTTTTGGCTGCAACAGATTTTGACATATTTAATTATTCAACTTTTCTTTAAAATTTCCAGAATATTTAGCAAAGAAGACAGATAGTGCAAAGGCCCTAAGAAGAGAACACATTAGAAAGAAAGTTTCCTGGGGAATAAACAAAACAACACAGTTTTGTTTTGTTTTGTTTTTTTAAAAACCCACTGTCCTCTTCAATGAAACAAAGATAGTCAATATGTACATGAGTGGAAGAGTAACAGGAGAGGAAAGCTGTAGAACAGGTCTTAAGGACCTTGTCAAGAGGATAAGCATAGGGCTGGGGATGTGGCTCAAGCGGTAACGTGCTCACCTGGCATGTGCGGGGCGCTGGGTTCGATCCTCAGCACCACATAAAAATAAAATAAAGATGTTGTGTCCACCAAAAACTGAAAAGCAAACATTTTTTTTAAAAAGAGGATAACTGTTCTGAATTTTATATTAAGCTCAGCTGAAAGGAGGCTTATAATCAAGGAGAAAATGATACTAATTTTTAGAACACCTCTCTGGTTGACAATCAATTATAGAAGAAAGAGAGTGGAAGTAGGTGATCACCAGAGACACTTGTTTAATCTAGGCAACAGATGATCTTCCCTGGACTGACAATGACATGGAAGGAGTACAAGGATTAAGGATATACTTGAGGATAGAAGCAACAGAGTTTGCTATTATATGAGATGTGGAGGAAAAGGAAAATGGAGAAATGAGGTTGACTACTACTATGTATTGATCTTAAGTGACTGGACAATGGTAGTGACATTTACTGCAATGGAGAATTATAGCAGGTAGAAAGGGTTAGGAGCAAGCATAGAAGGGTGGAATCAAGCATTCTTTTTTAGAAGTTAAATTTGAGTTGCCTATTATATATACAAGTGAAGATGTCATGCAAAAATTGAATACAAGATTTTTTTAGTACAGGCAGAGCTAAGCTGTAGAGGTACCTATTTATTTGTTGGCATATAGATGTCGTGTAAGTCCATATGGCTCAGGATGAGAGTACAACTAAGAAAAAGTAGAGATCTTATACATATCCCTTAGAGTGTCTAAAATCTAGAATCTGAGCTAAGGAGTTACAGCATATGAACTTAATGAGGTAGAGTAACAAAAGCAAAAAATAATAATAATAATTTTGAGAAGGAAAGAATGCTGATAAGATGTCAAGAACAATATAACAAACTCAGGCTTATTTTTTGATTTCATCTTTTTTTACCACTTCTGAGGAGTGATGAGATCTAAAACCTAACTGAAATGAGTTCAGCACAATAGACCCAGACAGAGACTATTGGCAATACTGGTAAATATGTGGGTTGTGGAGAGGAGGGCAGAGGGATAAAGAGGGCAGCAGCTGGAGAAGGAAGTGAGGTAGAGAAAGAATACTCATTTGTGTGCTTCTCAAGATATCAGGAATCAAGCCCTTAGGTACATTGATGGGTGTATTATAAGCTTTGCATCATTTTGTACTTGCATACCTGACAAAAACAACTTAGAGGTTTATTTTTGTTCACAATATAAAAGGATTCAATTGAGGTTGAGCCAGCTCCAAGACAGAAATATCATGGTGGAAGGGTATGGGGGAGGTGGGTGCTACTCAGCATATAATAGAGGAGACAAGATATAGTCCCCAGGGGCATTACTTCAGGGGCATGTACCTCCTCCAGACACACCTCACCTGCCTACAGCTACCAGCCAGTAGTCCATTCAAATTAGCAAATCATTTGATGGATCACAATGAGATTACAGTTTTCGTGATCCAATCGTTTCCCAAAAGCCTCTCCTCTGAACCTTACTGCATTGAAGACCAAGCTTTTAACACTGGAGCTTTTTTTGGTCATTCCAGATCCAACCATAACAACAGGAGTGAATCAGGAGACAGGAAGAGATGGGTGATACAGAGCAAGAGGGTGTAATTGAAGCAGGGAAATCTTCCCACAAAATGAGTGGGATTAGGATCTGTAGCCTGAGAAGAACTGTCCAATGTTAAGGATTAAGGCCTGATCCTGGGGACCAAGCAGAGAGCACACACACACAGAGTTGCTAGACTTGAAGAAAGGAATATGAATCCACAGCTGACTATTTCTGTTTTCCCAGTGATATGTAAGGCAGGATCTCATTCAAGAGAGAATGGTGAAAAACAAAAGAAAAAAAAAAAAAGAGGATGGTGGAGGTGATAGCAGCAGAGAATATGCAAAACAGCATCAAGACAGAGCAATATGCAAAATAGCATCAAGACAGAGCAAGTAAAAAAAACAAAACAACAACAACGATAACAAAAAAAAAAAAAAAAAAAACATGCCAGAGAAAACACCCAGAATTTGTGGGCAGCATGGAGTGGCCATTAGAATTAAACCAGCAATGTAACTATGCACTATTTTTCTAGTCCTTTTCACTAGTCTAGTACAAGCAAGTAGTAGTTAATTGACTTTATCCTTGTGTTTGCCGAGTGAGACAGACAAAGAAGCAATGGAGTTGAATGTACTTAAAGGAGGTTGATTATAATGTTGGATCATGTTATTTAATCTGGTTAAAATTATGTGGAATCATGGAAAGAGTGACCTGAAAAACTGATAGGAAAAAAAAACAACTGGGTGTCTCAAAGAAGATGAAAATTATGAGAAAAGCAGCATTCTATGTTATGCACCCTAAGGGTAAGAGACAATGGTCAAAGAATGGAACAATGAACTCAAGAAAGACAGTTGTTGATGATCAATAGTTTATGGGTAGGCAGAGGTGGGATAGAAGGAAAGGTGATTAGAGATGAGAAACTCAATGGAATGAGAGGTCAGGGTGTTGTCTCAGTTGTATTTAAAGCTATTAAAGTGGCTACTAATGGTCCTTGGAGCAAAACAAAGAAGACTCTGGTGAGCCTGATGCTTGGGACAAACAAGAGGATGGGGAGGATAGCAATAAACTAACCCAGAGGATTTGACCACCTCACAGCATTCAAAGTAGTTGGATGCTGAAATGACTAGTGAGAGCAAGGACTAAACCTACGCAATGTTTTTTGCAAGAGAGAAGTATATTAAAAGAGAAACAGCCTCCAGTTGACAGGGAAACCAGTGTTTTCTGAGAAGAGTTGGGTTTGGATAACTTTGAGGATATAGGGGAATTTGATGATAATGGGCTCCAAATTCTAGCATTTGGTTTGTGAAAGTAGGATGGAGGCACATATAAAAGGATAGATATCATATGATTGGAATTCTGAGAAGACATAGATGCAATCAGTATTATATGGGGGCCCCTTGACCACTCAGGAGTTCCCTGTGATGTGGCAGACGAAAACAAACAAATGCCTCTTCAACGGGATGGTCACTGGAGGGCGGGGGGTGGGGTCTGCCTAAGAGTGGTCTCTAACTCTGGTCCAGCATCTTCCACTTCTTCATGACACTCAGATTTCTGTGTAATAAGTGTTGCCAGCACTGGAGTATAAACTCTACGAGGGCAGTAGCTATGTTTTCTTCTCTTCTCTGTTCTCTGGCCTGGAATTAGTCTCTACCTACAGAGCTCTCAACAATTTTCTGCCAACAGACTGACCTGAGCAGTTGTCTGACTGGTATAGACACATTTCAGAGTAAATGACCACAGGTTTAAGAGCTGAACCAAGGTGGAATTTAATTCCCAAAACTCATCCTAACTTAAAGGTGTTGGTATGTATTTAATGACTCCTAACCCCAGTTTCTTTAGTTGAATAAAATTATCACCAAATACCTTCAGTAACCTGCAGGGGTGGGACAAACACAGAAACAGACAGTAGGTCACCTGCACATGTGATATGAGCTTCCTCCTTTGGAGAGCAAGATCTCTGTTTCCAGGGGTCAGAAGGACACTGCCAGAGAGAGATATCAGTTTTCCGACAGTGGATTCCATCCACCCAGCGGGGTCTAGAACCTTCCCTGAGAGGAACAAAGAAATCCAGAGTCCCACTGTCCCCACAGCCAAGCTGTCTGCAGATCACGGACAAGGTCACAGCTTCCATGGGGCTGTGGCAGACACTGCCCCAGGTGTTGTTGTAGAAAACCTCCAGCCACCCAGCACACTCCTGGTCCTCGCTCACCAGCCTGAGGGCCACGAACTCTGAAATGAAAAGGGAAACATCAGGGCTCAGTGAGCATTCAACTCTTCATATTTTGGTCTTTCTGGTTTTTTTTTTTTGTTGTTGTTGTTGTTGTTGTTGTTGTTTTGGTTTTGTTTTTGTTTTTCTTCCTATCTCAAAGGTAGTGAACACACAATGCTGATGCTGCTGAGGAAGAACCCATGGAAAATAATGAAATTCTTCTTCCTTATCTGATTTTGCCAGATTGTACCCATATTTCTATTTCTACCTTAATGATGTAGTGAAAAATGGACAAGCGGGAACATAGACATAGGTGCTCTGCAAAGAGGAAAAGCTGAATCCTGTTTCCTGGGTAAACATGTGACATACCCTAAGAAAGGCAGTATGGACAGTGAAGTGGCAGAATAGTGGAGCCCCAAACATTCACTTCCTCATCCTAGAAGCCTGTGAATATCCTAATCCTGGTTGCCTCATGGGGTAAAGGGGCTTTGAAGAGAGGATTAAGATAAGGATCTTTTCATTATGAGATTATACCAAATTATCTGGATTAAACATGTGATCACATCCCTACACCTGTATCCTTAAAAACAAATAACCTCTTTAGGCCATAGTCAGAAGGAATGTGACAATGGAAGAATGGTCAGACAGTTGCAAAGTGATTGTTTGAAAAAATTAAGAAAGGGCCATGAGCCAAGGAATGCAGACAGCTTCTAGGAATTGGAAAAGGCTGGGAAATGAGTCTTCCCAGAGCCTCAAAGAAATGCAACCTACTGACACTTTGTGTTTAGCCCAGGCAGACCTTGGTTGGATTCCAATCTAATCTAAGATAACTAGGGTGGGTTTAAGCCTCTAACTCTGTAGTAATTTGTAACAGCAACAGTGGGGAAATAATCCAGTGGATTTTAGACAGATTTTGCACCCACATGTGACTGAAGCATGAGATCTGCTTTCAAATGGACACTGTAGAGAATGACTGTGTCAGCAGAAGCTCAGCTGCTGCTGCAGGAAATGAAAACACCTCATCTTCTCTGCTGGGAAGACAGGCACTGTGGGAGGGGCCTCCTCCCCCTGGGACCTGTCAGTAATTCCCATGCCCTGAAGTAGGGCTCAGTCACCACCCTGCAGACCCTACCAGACCTCTCAGCCTGTGCACAGTGTGCACCACAGACCTGAGCAGATGACCCCAGCATCCTCCTTGTGCCTGCAGTCATGCTGCCCCCAGCCCTGGGAAGGGCACTGCCACACATGGGCCTCCTCTCCTGTGCAGTTCAGCTCATCCAGCCAGATGGGCCCTGATCCCTCTCCAAAGTGAGCAGAGATGGTGGCCTCCAGGGCCACTCCACAGCCCAGCTGTCTGCACACCACATGGGCATCATTCAGGTCCCAGCTGTCATCACAGATGGAGCCCCAGGAGCCCTGCTGCAGGATCTCCACTCTCCCTGCACAGCGACTGTCCCCATCCACCAGGCGGAGCTGTCTTCTGTCTGAGGAGAGACAGGGTCATGTCAGTGGGCATTCACACAGGGAATAGGGAGGCTCTGGTGCTGGAGGTCTTGCTCACCTGAGCAGTTGGCAGTGTGGCCCTCTGAGGCTGTAGAACCTGCTGGGTCAGACCAGGAGTCGTTGCACTGGGGCAGCAGCTGGGTCTGGTTTCCTACGGAAAGGGTTAGAAAGCAGGAAACTGAATTAAACTAGATGATAATCTTGTGATGGCATTTGAGATGAAAGCTCTAAGGAGCAATCATTTCATATCTTCAGAGCCAATCTTCTAATGGAGATTTCTGCTTCTCCTCTGACAGACTTTTCTGTTTTAAGTTAACACTAAGAACGATGTTAGCAAAGTGGAACTATATCGATGCTCATTGAAAGCATTATAGAGCTCTCAAGGCAACAAAAAATTTGGAGTCAAGTTCAGAGATAAGTAAAGGACTTGGATGAGCCATTTTTCCCTGAGGCATTTGACCATTCAGGAGTAACAACTGTGATGCTGAACATCCCAGCAGAAGTACTGCCAGATTCACAGGACTGAAGTACACAAGTTTAATTGAGAGTTAACCAAAGAGGAGGGCCCTGTTAACGGAAAAATGGGTATCATGAACGGAAGCATGAATTAAAAATAGAGGTATCCTCATGAAGAACAGTATCCACTTCTAATTACTTCACATCCTTTAAAATAAGGTTAACAACCCCTAAATAAGGAGGAAGCAAATGCAGTCTTTTTGAAAGGACTTCTACAATTTTATGTCTGCCAATTAAAACTATTCAAGCATATCTTAAAATGTGGAACTCACAGAAACTTAGTAGCATCTTGGTTACACTACATTTGGAGAATAGATAAAAATGGGGAAAGGAAAGACGTTGGTCTAAGAATACAAAATTTCAGATAAAAGAGAGGAATAAATTCTCATAATTCATTGTTTAGCACAGTGACTATAGCTAATAGTAATAAATTGTATACATCAAAATTGGTTTAAAATAGATCTTAAGTGTTCTCACAAAAAATATGATGAGGTAACAGATATAATAATTAGTTGATTTAAATTATTCATATGTATAATGTATAATGTCAAAATAACACTGTATTCTATAAATATATACAATTATAACTTATTCATTAAAATTTTCAAAAACGAAATAGACCTGGGATGTTCTTTTCAATTACAATAAATTTTATGAACAAAAAAATACCCAGACATAAGAGACTTCTCAAAAACCAAGAGGGGACCCAGCATGATGGTGCACACCTGTAACCCCAATGACTCAGAAGGCTAAGGCAGAAAGATCGATAGTTCAAAGGCAGTCTCAGCAATTTAGCGAGGCCCTAAGAACTTAGCAAGACCCTGTCTCAAATAAAAAACAGAAAGGCCTGGGGCCAGGCAAGGTGATGCATACCTGTAATTCCATTGGCTCTGTTTGCTGAGGCAGAAGGATGCCTAAGCCAGCCTCAGCAAAAGCAAGGTGTTAAGCAACTCAGTGAGATCCTGTCTCTAAATAAAATACAAAAAAGAGCTGGCGATGTGGCTCAGTGGTCAAGTGCACCTGAGTTCAATCCCCAGTATCAAAAAAAAAAAAAATGGTGTGGGAATGTGGCTCAGTGGTTAAGCAAGCAGTCCAGTTTCAAATCCCTGATACAAAAAAGGGGGCAGGGGACGAGGCATTATAAAGAAACTCTCAAAGCACTCAGGTAGTGGAGTTACCTAAGTAACCATAATTAAAATATTCAAGGAATTAAATGACAAGCTTAAATTTTGGCAGAAAAAAATATATAAGAATGAAAATCTGTAGAGCTGAAAAAGACAATACCTCAAATTAGAACTCAAAGGATGGGCATTGAAACACATGAAATCAGCACAAGATAGAAATAGGAAAATGAAGGACCAGGAGAAAATATACAGAATAAAGCTCATTAAGTCCTAAATGCATAATGTCACAATTATATTATGTATTTTTAAAATGGAAATTAGAAATACTGCAATTACTGTGTGGAATATTTAATAGACCTACAGTGATTTGTTTTTAAATACATCCAAAAATTTTGTGATACTGCATTCATTGAGAATTGTAGTCTATTCCTCTTTTTCCTTGAATTTTACCTGACCTTAGTGAGCTACTTGTAAGCAACAGAATGCATTTGTGGTAACACTGTTTTACTTAAAGGGCTGGTATGTTGTGCAGCCACCTCCTGGCTCAATTACGACCGTTTCTCTAGGGGGAATCTGACTCTGTTGAAACTATCTTGCTAGAAAGGACATCTGGTCAAGTTGAACTTCCAATTGTCACCATGTGGGCAATCCAGCTTACACTCCCAGGTCTTTGGATGACCTTGACCCCAGGTGATATCTAAGTGCAACCTTATGAAAGACCACAAGAGACAACTGCCAAACTGAGTCATTTCCAAATTTCTAGACCATGAAATCTTCCAAAATTAAATGTATTTGCTGATTTGTTAGTTGGTTGCTTTTCAGTTGCCAAGTTGCTTCTGAAGTTTTGTTATGCAGCAAGAGTTAACTGGGACACTTACATTGACCTTATTAAAAAGTATTTTCTAAAGATAAATGAAAATACTTTTCTTCAAAAGGACTTGTATGTGCATCTTCATAGCCACTTTACCCACAAGATCCCAAAACTGAGATGCTACCTAAAACATTGCTATTATTTTTGGGTCAAAAGCTGGAAGGGCCTTGCTATGGTTTAGATGTGCTTTGCCCCACAAAGGTTCATGCAATGGAGGGTTGACCCCCACCATGGCAGTATTAAGAGGTGGTAGAATCTTTAAGGGGTAGAGCCTGGTTAGGTAATTGGGGATGATGCTTTCGGGAGGAAGGGATTAGTATAGTTCTCTTGAGACTCTGGTTAGTTCCCACAAAAGTGAATTGTTATAAAGGATCAGCCTTATCCCTAAGTCTCTCTCCAGTTTCTTGTTTCACCATGTTATCTCTCCCTCTTATATATAACCCCACCATGATGCAACTGCCATGAAGCCCCCATAGATGGAGCTACCTGACCTTGATTTTTTTTGCCTCCAAAGCTTTGAGCTAAATAAATCTCTTTTATGAGTTTCCAGCTGTGGGCATTTTGTTATAGCACTGGAAAACACACTAATACAGGGCTCAAGAAGACTATTAGCAGAAACCTGATAGATTTCAGCAATGCTATTAATGAAAAACCCCAATCTCTAAAGGTTACATATTGTTTGATTCCAACTATATGACATACTAGAAAAGGTAAATTATGAAGAAACTCAAAATCAGGGGTTTCCAGGGATTGGGGATAGGAGATGAATAGATAGAGCACAGAGGACTTTCGGGGACTGAAAACACTCCACATGATACTGTAATTGTGGATACATAACATCATACACTTGTCCAAACCCTTAGAATATACAACACCAAAAGAAAACCCTATTGTAAACTATGAACTTTGGGTCATTATAATGTATTAATGTAGGTTCATCAACTGTAACAAATATTGCACTCTGGTGAGGCAGGTGGTAATGGGGAGGCTGTGCATGTGTGGGGGCAGGGAATACATTATGGTTTGGATCTAGAATGTCCTCCAAAAGCCCATGTGTTAAAGGTTTGGTCCCTAATGCAGCAATGACAATTTTCAGAGGTGGGACTTTTAGGAAATGATTGAATCATTATGGCTGTGACCTCATAAGTGGATTAATCTATTGATAGCTGAATGAACTCCTGTGAGGTGGTATAAACTGTAGGCAAGTAGCACATGGTTGGAAGAAGTAGGTCACTGTGGGCATGACTTTGAGGACTATATCTTATCCTAGTTACCTTCTCTCTCTCTGTTCCTGTTCCTGTTTCCTGGCTGTCATGAACTGAGCATCTTTCCTTTGCCACACCTTTCCACCATAATGTTCTGCCTCACCTCAGGCCCAGAGTAATGGAGTTAGTCAACCGTGGACAGAAGCCTCTGAAAACATGAGCCAAAATAAAACTTTCTGGCATGGTTTCAAGATGGCAGATTAGAAGGAAGGCTGCATATTCCTGGGCATCAGAGTGTGTGAGACCTGTAGAGAGTCGACTCTCCTGCCCCATGAATAGAATTCTTGGCTTCTTAGATCCAGGCTCCTAGGACAGACCAGCATTCGCCTGGCGCTAGGGATATGTTGATCTAATTTCTCCAGAACAGATACCACCCAGAAAAATCCCTAAGGCCTGATCCAGCTGCTGGAACTCCCCTCCTAGAAATCTGTAGCAACCCCACCCTGGGAGTGTTTTTATCAGATCTGCTGGGCAAAACTCCAATCAACAGTAATTCTCATTGTGTCCTACCTTATACTGCTATGAATGGTCTCAACTCTCAAATTAAAAGACATATAGGCTGGTAGAATGGATTAAAAAACAAGATCCAACTATAAGTTGTTTGCAAGACTCACCTCTCAAGCAAAGATAGCCACAGGCTGAAAGGGAATGAAAATTGATATGCCACTCAAATGAAGCCTAAAAATAATCAGGAGTAGCTACTCTCATAGCAACGAAGCAGGCATCCAGCCAATATTAATCAGAAAAGACAAAAGAGGTCATTTTATACTTGTAAAGTGAAAAATACAACAAAAAGTTATAATATTAAATATTTATGCTCCAAACATTGCTATAGATAATTACATAAAATAGGCACTACTCAAAATAAAGATTCAGATAAATTCCAGTATGATAATACTGAGTGATTTCAATATCGCTCTCTCACCAATAGATAGGTCATTCAGACATAAACACAGTAAAAACTCTTCATACCTAAAAAATATTATAAATCAAATGGACTTAACATATCTATAGAATATTTCATCCAAAAACAGCTGAACACACTTTCTTCTTAGTAACTCATGGAACCTTCTCCAAAATAGACCATATTTTAGTCCACAAAGCAACTCTTATCTGATACAAATAAATTTGATATAACTTCTTGCATCTTCTCTGTTCATAATGGAGAAGAAAATGCAATAATAAAACATATTTGGGTTTGACAAAAAAAATGTTAATAAGGAGGCAAAAAGTAACAAAAGAAAGGTAGAAAAAAACATGAGTATACCATATTTTCTCTAAATTTATCAATAAAACATTAACAGTAAATGAACTGCATATATCCATTATAATCAAAGATTGTCAAAGTATATTAGAAGTGAGCAAAATTCAACATTGGATTAATTTCAAGAGACCCACACAGTAAATACTAGCACACAGGTCAAACACAAAATAATGGGGGAAAAAAATACCATGTGAAGAAATCTGGTATGATTATACTATTGTCATACAAATTTGACTTTATGGAAAGAAGAGTTGCTAGAAATAAAGAAAAATATTTCAAAATTATAAAGGGATATCATAGAATTAAAACTTAAAAACCTATTCTAAATTTGTATGTAACTAAAAACAAGCCTCAAAATATATGGAGCAGGGGCTGGAGATGTGGCTCAGAGGTCAAGTGCTCGCCCAGCATGTGTGAGGCCCTGGGTTCAATCCCCAGCACCACATAAAAATAAACAAATAA